GTGAAAATGAAACTGGAACTTGAAGTTACTTACGGTATAACAGCTGCATCAACAATTTCCGGGTGAGTGAGTAACAAAGCCTCTAATTCTGCCGGAGGAACCTAAGAAGTTAAGCATATAATTTATTAGTTGGAATTTGTATTCACTCCACAAGAAATTCTTGAAAGGGAATTTCAGGAATATTATTGGATTACTGTCCAGTATCATATTGTGTTACCAAAGAATTAAGTGTCTTATAAGAAAAGACCGAAGATCTCTCAGTACAACTACTAATGAACACAATCTAATAGTGCAAAAGATTCATGAAGTTGATCTCAGATTTACTGTAGTTCAATGTTGTTCGGGAAACTACCATGTAAACCAATGATATATTCACCTGGTATCCCTTATACTTGATCAGCTCCTTCAATCGATCAACCACAAAAATGAAGCCGTCCTCATCAACATAGCACAAATCTCCAGTTTTCAACCACCCCTCTGAATCTAGGGTTGATGCCGTAGCCTCTTCATTGCTAAAATAACCTAAACATCATTTGAACAAAGGTAATAATCCTATCCGACCGGCAAATGTAAAAAGGTGAAATTAATACCAAAAGGCAAGAGATATCAATGTTTCATAACTAAAAATAGTCTCAGTTAGACCATATGTGAGAACATTACAAGATTGTAATAGAAGTGACCAAGAAACAAGGAACAAGAATGCAAGGGATCTTACTCATACTGATGTTAGGAAAATGATGGTTAGGATTATTTCTCAGACATCCTCAACTAACAATATTTTCTACTTAAATGATAGATGATATTCCACTTTGACAGTTGCTCCTAAACCTGACATGGTTGGCCATGTCGACGATTTGAAAAGTGAACTCTGGGTATGGTTAAAAGTCGAATGATGCAATTTTTTTAGTTGTTAATGAGACAACTAGCTCGGGTTTGACTAAAGCTGTCCAATAATTACCGAGTTGACCTGAAGCAAAACCATGAACATCAACATGTAAGAGCTTGATCCTACTCCCAATCTTGATCCTGGAGAGTTGACCTAACTGAAGCATGAATAATTCACAAAAGGTGAGGCTCAACTTGAATCTAGGAATATGTCAATGGCGTGTCGACAAGTAAGACAGTACAACCTACCAATTAGAACTAGGAAACCTGTAGTTCGTCTAGTGCCTTCCGGGAATCCTAAAAAACAAGCTAACAGACAAATCATCTAATGGGAATCAACGAAAAACTACAGATCAGTGCAGAATTCACAAAGATACCGAGTAAACAGTTTGACGACACAAGTCATTAATTTCCAAACTAGAGGTTGATTACAATTCTCCATAATTCATAGTGGTTATTCACTCCATGTGTGCAAATTATTATATAATTATTGAAATTCTACCGAATTTAACCTAATAGACTTGTCATCATTGAATTGGCCACCACATCCGCATTCTTTTCGTGGCCAATCT